AAACATGAATTTTAAAACAAAAGAAAGAATCTTCAGTATGTAATTGCAATAATAAAGAGTTAAGTGCAAATGTAAATCCGCTGATGTTCAACTTTTCAAACAATGCAAAATCAGTTGACAGAACTATTGATGTACAAACTAATGCAAGTTGAAGGAATCCATTTCAAAGTACAAAGTAATGGTAAAAAGTTTTCATGTCAGTCCTTGTCAGAATGTCCTTAATTCACCAATGATTACCTTGAATGCCTTAAGTTACAAATTTCAAGAGATTAAAAAAGGAATGAAAAAAATGTCCAACTTGCTCAAATTTTTTTTGATAGCCCTTATACCATCTGGCATCAACTGTCATTTTATTCAATAACAGAAAAATTGCATCTAAACAGCAGACTGCTGATATCTTCAGACAAATATTTTAATTTCATTTATATAAAAAAAAGTTTGGTTCGATTCTTTTTTTGATAGGGAAATGCTGAATTTTTCTGTAAATTGAATGTTTTAACAGCACTATTGGCTTTTTTGTGGGGGTCAGTTTTTTATTGGTGGATGGAGCTGAAGTACCAGGCTAGTATCGTCTCGTATTGTGTTTTCGACCGTCTTACGTTTTCGACCTAATTCTACTTTCACTTCCCGTATGCTGCGCATGCCCGTGTGACGTCACATTTGGCTGCTATATTTAGTAACAATAGCAAATAATACCACGTGCGGTGAAGATGTTTCAAGTAAAGTTATTATAATTAAGTATTTACGTTATTTTATTTGATATCACATTTTTGTACCTTTTCACTAATACTTTTTTTACCTTCCACAAGAATCTATCAAAAATAAACAAATATTCTAGAAATATGGCCGAGGACTTTTAGCATGTGAAGTTAACATCAAGGTCATTACGTCACATGACTGTCATGTGGTTAGGTGATATACTTAAAAGTTATTTTTAATACGGAAATGTGGATGATTCTTACAGTTTTTTGCTGAAAAAAATAAAATATCAATTAATTTTAATTCACAGAAACAGCAGTCTGTCAGGGGAGATTACAGACAATACTCACCAACCTCACTTTATAATGCCTTCACTGAAGTATATTGAACAGAAACATGACTGTATACAAGGTCCTCATGTGAAATGTGTACAACTAGTCAAATAAAGATATCAAAATAATATTTTATATCTTATAGTTGTATATGTCACCATTTAATTCATTAAATCATAAGTTTGATCGCCTCTAAAACTTTGAATAATTTGATATAAACATTGGCATCAAATTATAACCAATTCCGGATTTGTATGACATGTCATTTCCGACTTTGGACCCGTTTCTTAGATAGGTCGAAAACACAAGACGCTAGTTTTTGTCAACAAAGATGCCATCGATCTAATGAACTGAAATAAAAAAAATATTTAAGATCGAAATATATTTTAGATACAATTATTTAATGTACAAGTATACTAGTGACTCTAAAAAATATTAGGCATGTATATGTTCAAACATATTAAAGGGGAAATATTGATAAATTGTAAGTAGGTCGAAAACACAATACACGAGGATATACGTGTGAACATTATGTAATCCCTTTTTTACACCCTTGATTTCAGAAGAATTTACTTTTTAAGACAAAGAAATATTGAACTTTGATTTAGAACATACAATTTCTTTCAAAGGAATTTTAAAATATTTGTAAATTTTAAGATTAAAATTTACGGAGGATTTTGAAAATGTATAACTTGCCTAGTAAGAACTGACAATAAATAACTTTGCAGGAAACAGATAAGTACAAAAGTGACAAAAGTAAGCATGCATAGCTAGAAACAGATCAAAATAATTGACCAATCTAAAAAAAATCCTCCTGCCGAAAGAGTTCCTGATAAGAATCTTTTGAGAAGATTGCAAATTTCTGACAAGTCTAAAGAAAAAGAAATATTTAAAAAACCATAGGGACAAACTGTTGTTATTATAAACCTCTGGGTTCAAAAGATATAGGGATGCACATGTCAGTGTGTTTTTCAGTCTATCACACTTTTGGTTTCTGATCAAAGCTAAACCTAATCTATACAAATTTGGACACAAGGTCGTGGACCATAAACTACAGGTCAATTTAAATTTTCACATTTTCAACTTTTTTTGTTCATGAGTTCTACCCCTTATAAGTTATGTGTAAAATAAGGATATTTTTTGTTTCTGGGTAATGATGAAAGCACTACTTCAAGAAATCTTTTAAGATTTTAACACCATATCATGATTCATTTTTTGTCTCGCCTTGACAGAGTCAAAAATGAGACACAGGTATGCTGTTTTCCGGCGGCGGCGTCGAAAGTGTATTAGTTTGTGATTAGGTCTAGTTTATGGTGAACCACTAGTGGTAGGTCAATGATATTTGGTATGCAGTTGTGTTAGCATTGGCACATCTCATTACTTTGGCGAATATTTGGAGCGCCCCATCAGTCATCGTCTATTGACTTTGAAACTTTTGTTTAGTTTATATGTATTAGTTTGTGATTAGGTCAGTTTATGGGGAACCATTAGTGGTAGGTCAATGATATTTGATATGCAGTTGTATAAGCATTGGCATATCTCATTTCCATGGAGATTATTTGGCCCCGGCCCCTCAGTCATGCTCTATTCACTTTGAAACTTTTGCTTAGCTTTCATGTATTAGTTTGTGATTAGGTCAGTTTAAGGGGAACTGTTAGTGGTAGGTCAGGGATAATTGGTATACAGTTGTATAGACATTAGCACATTTCATTTCCATGGAGAATATTTGGTCTGTATCCCTCAGTCATGGTCTATTGACTTTGAAACTTTTGCTTAGTTTACATGTATTAGTTTGTGATTAGGTCAGTTTAAGATGAACCACTTATGTTAAGTCAATGATATTTGGTATGCAAATGTATTGGCATTTGCAAGTTTCATTTCTATGGAGATTATATAACCCCACCCCCTCATTAAGGTTCATTGACTTTGAAACTTTTACATAGTTTACAAGTTAATGTTTGTGTTAAGGTTTGTTTAAAGGGAACGACTTATGAAAAGTCAATGGTATGTGGTATGCAGTTGTATTAGCATTGGCACATCTCATTTCCATGGAGATTCAGATTAGACCTGTACCTTCAGTCATTCGATTTTCAGTGGACATTTTCTGTTAAAGATTTATGCTTCAGACAGGAGTATCTGCAACCACTAGATCACCTTTATTCTTAATATATATATGTTTATGTACAAGTTGTCAATGTTGTGACATCCACCATGTCAAAATTCTTTCAACATGTGATGCATGTTTGTTCTTTAAAATAATTAACCGGTAAAATGTTTTATTCAAATTTATATACTACAAACCAACTTATTTTCATGATACTTTTTTCACATTTAGTCCTTTTAGTCAACTTTGTGGTGATTTATTTTCACAATTTCTTGATGCATTTAATGTATATCAGGAAAGATAAGTTTAACATATATATAAAATGTATGCTTTGATTTATATTCACATTATTTTTCTACTCACAAAAAATAATTTGCTCATGAAAATTATTTGGTTTTTCTTATTTCAACATAACACCAAGCATTGTCCTCTTTGCATCAAAATTCTCCGTACCAGTTTTGATAATAAAATATGAGTTATAGTCAATTTCAAGTGTGCATGGTGTGGGGGCCTTGGTAACTGAGTAGTCCAACAACTGAATCACTACCCTGTCAACTCTCAAGTTGTGAGTTCGAGTCCTGCTAGTGGCAGGTGTTTGACTCAGATCTTTGTTGACTAGTATTGTCAGTTTTCCAACTGAAGGTCAGTGGTTCTCTCTGGGCACTACAGCTTCCTCCACCAATAAAAACTGGCCACCACGAAATAGCCAACGGTGCTGAAAGTGGCGTAAAACATCCATCAATCAATTTCATGTATACTTCTCTGCCTCAGTTTGTTTCTTATAACTTTGAAGGGTAGTACAGTTGAAGTTTCTTAGATAATTTGCTATGAATAGGATTCAGATGCGATTGTGTTCACTCTTCTGTAACTGGAGAGTATGATTCTCAATAGAAAATCAAAATTGTCCCCTTTGGTACTAGAACCCAGGACCTCTGTTTTCAAAGTCAGCGCTTTAATCAACTTAGCGAAAGAGGAACTTCTTAGCTCAACTGATTACAGCTTGCTACGTATCTACTACTCAAAGGAAACAATTCTGTCACACTTGTATGATGGATTACTAATTAGTTTTAAAATTTATCCATCAACTTCAGAACAAGAAAAAAACATGAGATGAGGATAAAAAGTTTTTGTGTTTTTCCTTCAACAGGTGATAATGGTTTAACTTTTAGAAAGGCAAAACTAGAACTTAAAATTTTGCTTTTATGTAAAATTAAAGCAGAAAAAAATGTGTACTGATATTTACACAATGTTATGTAAATTTTATGAATTATCAATTTATAAATTGTATTGCAGGTTGTTGCAGGATATATCTACAAATATACTGTTACACTTAACACTGCAGATGGAGGAGTAAGTAATTATTCTTTTTGTATCAGGCCAAAAAAAATGGTATCTCTTGTTTCTGCTGCTGTAATTTAAATTTTTACAACTACCCTTATTATTGGTACAGTTTTTGAAAAATTTGACCTCACTCAAGTCCAGATGTTTAACTATAATTTATGATAGTTCTTTTTAATAATTCGAAAAAAGCAAGAAATTTGCAGATCCACCACACAGTTACATTTCTGTTGAGAGATAATTTAAAAATTTAAATGTATCCACTGAGCTTGTAATTTTTGGTCTATTGACAGAGAATATGCAGTCATTGGCAGCTCCAGGATTTTCAAAAAGGGGGTCTTAAGTGGGCCCACTTAAAATAGGGGAAATTCAGAAATGGTACTAAACTAGTCCAAATAATTATGTCGTCTTGCAAGGCTATTTTATTTTTTTCTGTGACGCCTTCCTATGATGTAGGAAGGTGTCACAGAAAAAAATTAAAATAGCCTTGCAAGACGTCATAATTATTTGGACTAGTTCTAAACTGTAAAAACAAAAAGCTTAGATTCAAGGGGGTTCTTTTTTTATTCAACAAGAAATTCTCAAAATTTTAATAAAGACTCTCCCATGATGTCCTAAAGAATTTGACCAATATTAGTTACTACATGTACAACGTATTTGGCACATATTTTGCTCTGAGCATTGCTGCTAAAAGCAGGAATTATTTGTCCCGTGTTTAACTGCTTTAAAAAGTTTTCAAACAAAGTTTGTTTTGTGATGCTGGAAATGCTTTGTGAAAACATGTTAAAGACGCAAGGAGTTAACAAAACTTTTTTACATATAAAAAAATGAAAAACAATAAATTAAAAAAATAAATGTCCTGTCAAAATGATCTAAATGTTATTGATTTTAAGGTAAAACTTTTGAGTACAAAAAGGTGAAACTTCCCACTGACATGACCAGATAACATGTTTAATGTGTTTCTTAATATTTTGTGAGTTCATGAAATTCAGTGAATATTTTAATGGTTTCAGAAACAAGAATGTACTTTTAAAATTTGGTACAAAGAATGGGAGAAGTTTGTTCAAGTGCAGCAATCAGATTGTAAACCAGCAGGGATAGTCAAACGTCAATTAGGTGAACATTTCTTAGCAGGAGGAGTCAGTGCAGCAGACTGTAATTCAGATACCTTTCAGGCACCTTTACAGGAAGCCGTCAGACATGTCAACATGATGTCAAATAGCATGTTTCATATGACACCTGTACAAGTTTCCAAATGTACAACACAGGTAATTATTGCCAAAACAGTGAATAGATAAAGGAAGATGTGGTATGAGTGCCAATGAGACAACTCTCCATCCAAGTAACAATTTATAAAAGTAAACCATTATAGGTCAAGGTACGGCCTTCAACACGGAGCATTGACTCTCACCGAAAAGCAGCATGGTTTATCAGACACCTATACAAGTTTCCAAATGTACAACACAGGTAATTATTGCCGAAAACAGTGAAACATGGTTTATCAGACACCTGTACAAGTTCCCAAATGTACAACACAAGTAATTATTTGTAAATACAATGTAGCATGGTTTATCAGACACTTGTCCAAGTTACCCATGTACAAAACAGGTAATTATGTGTAAAACAATGTACAACACAGGTAATTATTTGTAAAACAATGTTCATGGTTTATAAGACACCTGTACAAGTTTCCAAATGTACAACACAAGTAATTATTTGTAAATACAATGTAGCATGGTTTATCAGACACTTGTCCAAGTTACCCATGTACAAAACAGGTAATTATGTGTAAAACAATGTACAACACAGGTAATTATTTGTAAAACAATGTTCATGGTTTATAAGACACCTGTACAAGTTTCCAAATGTACAACACAAGTAATTATTGTCAAATACAAAATGTAGCATGGTTTATCAGACACCTGTACAAGTTTCCAAATGTACAACACAAGTAATTATTAGTCCCCTACCGACGAAGTCGAAGGGGACTTTAGGTTTGCACTCCGTCCGTCTGTCTGTCTGTCCATCTGTCAGTCCTGCAAATCAGTTTTCCAGACTTTTTTTCTTCGTTCTTGAAGATATTGATTTGATATTTGGTTTATTGATTTATCATGACAAGTTACAGGTCAAGTTCAATTTTCACGATTTTAGCTTTTCTCTTTGTTCAGTTAAAGCCCTTTCCCTAGAATTAAATTTTTGATGAAATACTTATTAATTAGTAGATTTCTGTTCAAAGGGAAATAACTCATTTTTATTTAAAAGATTTTTAAAAGACAAAATGACATTTTGATTTTTTTCCTTTTCTTTGGTAAATTGTTTGAAGAATTTGGTGGTAGGTTTGTTTGTCTTTCTTGAAGACATTGATTTGATAATTAGTATATAGTTTTATCATGACAAGTTACTGATCAAGTTGGAATTTTGTTCCAGTCTGATAATTTTGTGCAGAGTTATGGTCTTTGGACATAGAAAATTCACTTAAATGATCAGTTTTCAACAGTTTTTTTCGTCATGCTTGAAGATTTTGACTTGATATTTTTATAAAGTTTACACCATGACAAGTTATAGATCAAGTTAGAATTTCATTCCATTACAATGAATTTGTAACCGGTAGGGGACTATGTATTGCCATGCAATACTCACAGAAGGCTTGTTTGTAAATACAATGTAACATTGTTGATCAGACATTTGTCCACATAATCTATGTACAACACAGGTAATTATTTGTAAATACAATGTAGCATGGTTTATCAGACACCTGTACAAGTTTCCAAATGTACAACACAAGTAATAATTATGTACATGGTTTATCAGACACCTGTACAAATTTCCAAATGTACAACACAGGTAATTATACCCCCACTTTTTTAAAGCATAAAAAAGTGGGAGTATACTGTTTTACCTCTGTCTGTCCATCTGTCCGTCAGTCCATCCATCTGTCAGTACGTCTTTCCATCCCATGAATATTTTTCGTCGCATCTTTCTCCGGAACTACAATACAAGAATTTCAGAAATTTGGTTTCAGGGTTTATATAAGTCAGCTATACAGTGTGATGCGTTATCAGATTCATCACTCAACAACTTCCTGTTTACCAAACACTTGTATCATTTTACACATGATAGCCAAGTTGAAAATTATCGTCGCATCTTTCCCAGGAACTACAATACAAGGATTTCTGAAATTTGGTTTCAGGGTGTATATAAGTCAGCTATACCATGTGATTCGTTTTCAGATTCATCGCTTAACAACTTTCTGTTTACCAAACACTTGTATCATTTTACACATGATAGCCAAGTTGAAAATTTTCTTCACATTTTTCTCAGGAACTACAATACAAGGATTTCTGAAATTTGGTTTCAGGGTTTATATAAGTCAGCTATACTGTGTGATGCTTTTTCAGATTCATCACTCAACAACTTCCTGTTTACCGAAATATTTGGACGGGGGATTTAATCATCAGTGAGCAGTAGCTCGCAGTTTCACTTGTTAATTGTAAATGCAATGTAGCATGTTTTATTAGACACTTGTACAAGTTCCAAATATACAATACAGGTTATCATTAGCAAAAACTATAAGGCATGGCTTATAAGACACCTGAAAAAGTTTGCAGTTGTACAACACTGGTGTCATATGGTATTTTGACCCCCTCAAAATACCATATGGAAAATACATACGACACAGGTTATTATTGGCAAACACAATTTAGCATGGTTTATAAGAGTTAAGGCACGTAAACTTTTCCAACTGTACAGTTAGTTCTTAAAATATGCAATGCAGCATTTTACATCAGATACCTGTACAATCTTGTAACTGAACAACTCAGGTAATTTTTGGAAACTACAATGTAGCATCTTTTATCAGACCGTGTTTATCCCAGGGTACAACGTTGGTAATTACTTTCAGCTAGCTATTCAATAAAGTGTAACATAGTTCTTTTCACATTAAGGTCCATTTTTGTTGAACATCAGTGTCATCAACATTTAGTAGGGGGAGGGAGGCACATTGCATGTTTGTTTTATAGTGTCCTTTGAACATGTTTTCTTATTTGATTTACTAGTTAAAATTATAATATATTACTTTGGCTATCAATCCAAAAACCATTAACTTGAATGCTTACTGTGTAATTTGATAATGTATTTATTATCTTCTGTAGTAGCAATTAATTACTATGAAATCTTTTTCTGTTAGGTTGTTGCTGGTGCAAAGTACACAATGAACGTTGATTTCCAACAATCAGAGACATGCATGAATGACAAGGATCACATGACATCATTGTTGGCCGATTGTCCACCAAGTAACTCTGCTACTCATGTAAGCTATATCTGTGAATATTAATGTAGAAAAGACTAAGCGTAAGAATCACAATATAACTCCATCAAATGAATTGTGATTTTGGTTTAAACTTAAGGTATTGGTAGCACACAGCAGACACAAGGTCACTAAGTTTAGAATGACTTACTGATGTTGAGTAATTCACTTTGAAACAGGGTGATTGGAGGTGATAATACAATGATTTAGGACCAACCTAATCTGAAAGGTCAATGACCGAATTGATATCTTTGATTAGGTCATTAAATAAAGTGGTACAGAAACAATTTTGGTCATTTTATTGAGCTCATGTTAATTGCCTTTTGCATCAATTTTTATTTTGCATTGCTTTTCCATACAGTATGTAATACATACTATGTTTTTGCACAAATTTTTCAAATAACATGGACATGACAGAAAAATCATTATTAAATGGATTTAAAAATAGATATACATGTGATCTGTTTGGATACTAAAGTAGTCAAATAGTCAAATTTTTACCTCAATGGCAAGAAGATTTACAGTTCTGTTAATCTCAGCTCACCAACTTTCCAAAGGATCACAAGTATGAGGAGATATTTGAACTAGAAGTTTGTTTCATAAAAAGGGAATCCAAGAGCATTGAGAATAGATTTAAAAAATCATATTCCATCATATGTTCATAGAGTTAAGAGATCCATATTCTCTAATTTTCATGCTTTTTCACATTTCTCAATCGGTGTGAGAAAAATATTTCTCCTTTCTAGATAAAACTTTGTTCTGGGCAAATAATTTTTTGAAATTTAATGATGATGTCAAATTTTCTTGGTTTCTTCTGAATTTCCTATTGTGACGTCATGAAAAAGGCGACCATGCCTAATGACGTCACATATAAAGGATAAACTTTGTTAAGATAACGTCTAAAAATCATTAGAGAAATAGATTCCAACACTAGAACTCATATATAACAATATTTTCTCTGCTCTGAACAGTTAAATTTTAATTATTTAAAAAACTTGTCAATCCTCGCGCTTTAAATATTAAACTTTTAACTCTCTCAGGTGGAGAAATATCGTGATACTCTTGATGCAGTGGTGGAATCTATATTTACCGGTATGTTTTGAAAGAGTAGAAATTAACAGAAAACATTACTTTCTCTTGCAGACTGACCACTTCCAGTGTACAGTAGTGTATGCACCATGGCATAAAACTAAATATGAGACTGACTGTAAAATGGTCCAGGTGAGTTGATAATATCTGTGTATTTTTATAGAGTAAGAGTTTTTAGCTTCTTATGTTACTGTGCTGTTACTACAAAAGTCTGTCACAAGAACTATTTCATTCTGAAATAGAAGTTAGTTGATTCTAAAATCAGAATATTGTTGGCACAATATAGAAATTCCTCCATGTAACATCCTCTTTTGAAAACATAATCTAAGAAGCTTAAAACTTTATTTTGTATGTGACAAAACTTAAAAAGACAATGTTTTCTGTTGCTCACCCAGATGCTCCTTATCTTTTTGTTTGGCAAATATTAGAAAAAGGTCAAGGTCGTTATGTATGTGTATATGTATTTTTTGAAAATCAAATTACCTACAATATTTTTAATCTTAATGCAACAGGAAACTTTTTTTTTTTTTTGCCTACATGTTTTATATATTGTGTTGTAATCTTCACTATACTCACACTGATTAGACAGCAAAACTTTAGTTCCAACACATCTTTTTTTTCTGTGATTGATTTCATTTCACTCTCGTCATGTGGTCAGGTCATAACCTCATCACATTTTATCCACAATGAACAAGTGTTGTGATGGACTTGTTTTCCATTACAATTTTTGAATAATGATTTCTCTGGTTTTATAAATATCAATAAGAGATCAAGACATTAAGTTAAGATTAAATACTGAAAAAAAAATGTCTAAAATTCACAATAAAGACTTAGCAAAAGGCAAGCTCCCTGACCATATTGCCCCTTGTCAATATGCTTTGGGAAAACCAGTACCAAAGAACTGACACATTTTAAGACAATCAGATTAAGAAGATTCCAAACTATGAACTGCACTCACACATCTGGCATGGCAATAGGGTTAAACTCTTCAAAAATGTCTATGGGAAGTTGGGCTTTGCTATAGTCAGGTTAGATATAATGTTACATTGAAAACACATTGATGTAGGAAAGCACTATTTGAAATGATTTAAAGGTATTTGGAGACTTTGGACTATGACTAAACATTGACAAAGCAGTAACCCAACAATACAACAACCATAATAAGAAATTTTTAGCACTGCATGTTTTCTACTACTAGCTATAAACATTGCATGTTGTATTACTTAACTTTTGAGCAAGCTGTGTAGTTTTTAATCAGTTATAATTATATTATAATTGATATGGAATTTATACAAGAAATATATCTCATGCATCATGATAGAATTCTGTGAATTGAAATTTTTAGAAACTGAATTTTTGCAAAAATTTGTGAATTCACAAATAAACAAGGATGCCTTTTGTTTAAAATGTTGATAGATTTGATGAGACCAAACCACACAGCTTGTTCTGGGTGTTTTGTGAGTGTATTTATTTGATTTGTGCGTGCTTTACTAACAATTTTATTGTTTTGCTTCTTACAGTGAACCCAAACAACATTAAACAACCAAACCATGCAGTACTAAACAGTAAAATTGTTTGTTAATTAAACTTTCATTTTCATGTTGTCTTTATTCTTTGTTTCTGTTTTCTTTGTTACAATTCTTTATAAATTCATTATTGTTCTAGCAGACATTTTTAGAAGATTATTTTGTTTCATCAACATATCGATTACAAATGTATTGTACAACCAGTATTAAAAATTTATTATTAAATCATAATTATAATGGTTTTGTTATGTAACAACTAGTATAAGTGTATATTTCATTAGTATACACTGAATATTTGTGATTTAAAAGGGAGATAACTCTTCGAAAGTGGAAAGATCATTCAGATGCACATTTTGGAATTGAAAACCACAAATCTCAAAGAGGATTTGTTGCATAATTTGATTATGATTTCTTCTGTATATTTGGCAGATGTAAATATCTCTTTCGTTAATAATGCTGATGTCCTACATATTTTCACCAATTCTGATACAGAATTGTACACCAGGTGTCTTATCTCAAGATACATGTATGACATTCAAAATTCATGAGACATGACCATATGTTGGAATTTGATAACAATGTTTTCTAATTTGTTGAATATTTATAAGGAATGTTGATTAATTTAACAGTAATAAACAAAGAAACTTAGAAATTATATTTGAAATAACGCAAATATTTGTATCAAGTTATTATAACAAGATTTACAATTACTAGTAATATGATCATATTTATATATGTTTCAAATGCGATTAACAATGTTTAGTTTTACATTGTATATGAAATGAGAAAGCAGGTAGAATGTAGGACAAGTTAATCTGAATGCCTGAACATGACATGTACTCATGGTTGACTTGTTTTGTGGAAAGGAGTGTACCAATTTTGTACTTTTAATCATTTTATCTGCTTGTTTATGGAAAGGATGGTGCATTTAAATTTAAAAGGGTGCATGAATGTTTGCCTTGGAGATATTATACTATATATGGTACAAAACATTATTACCACAGAAAATAACATTTTAAAATAAATGAACAAAAATCCACATTTTCAAGTAGAAAAAGAACAGGTGTGCTAACAATGGCAATGTTATATGGAAGATACTATCATCCTGATCATTCGTGAAATATTTGCCACTGGACTTTAATAAATTAACAATCAATCAATACAAGATACTGTATGTTATTTACTGTATTATTATATATAGTGAGCAATTTCATGAGCATGATTAACAAATGTCAGATTAATGTAAACAAAAATAACTGTATCATTATAATACAGTTTCAACCAATAGGATTTTACATATTGAATTTTTTAAGTAGTTTTCCTGATGACAATTTTATCCCTCATAAGGAAATCCCTATAATTGTGGATTATATTTCCGTCAACTACAGAACGGACAAACAAACTATTAGATTTGAGGTCACATTTTAAGTGGAATAATACTGATTTATAGTAAGATATAATGCATTTTCACATTTTTATGCCCACGCCGTAGCGATGGGGGCATTAAGTTTTACCCTTGTCCGTCTGTACGTACGTATGTCCCAATATTGGTTTCCGTTCTCTAACTTATACACAATGCTTATTACCACAAAACACAGATCAAGTTTGAATTTTGGTGGCGTCACTTAAACGTTCTAGAGTTATGCCCCTTTATAAATGGGAAAATTGCAAAATTTTTAGTTTCCGTTCTGTAACTTAAGTTTGCCTCAACCAAATGTTATGAAACTTATACACAATGCTGATTACCACAAAACACAGATCAAGTTTGAATTTTGGTGACGTCACTTTAACTGTTCTATAGTTATGCCCCTTTATAAATGGAAAAATTGGAAATTTTTTATTTTCTTCTAAATATCAATTAATTTTTAAAATTGGAGTTATCTTCCTTTGTCCATGATTATAGTTGAATCAAATACTATCAATGCTTTATACAATGCAATGTGTAATTTTGACTTCCACTGATAAAACACAGATCAAGTTGAATTTGGGTAGTGTCACTTTAACCATTATTGAGTTATGCCCCTTTATAAATCAAAAGATTGCAAAATTTTTAGTTTCCATTCTGTAACTTAAGTTTGCCCCAACCAAACATTATGAAACCTATATACAATATTCATTACCACAAAACTAAGATCAAGTACAAATTTTTTGTTTCCGTTTTCTTACTTTAGTTTGCCTCAACCAAATGTTATAAAACTTATACACAACCGTTCTAGAGTTATGTGTGTTTACAAATAGAAAAATTGCTGAATTTTTAGTTTCTGTTCTCTACTTAAGTTAGCCTCAACCAAATGTTATGAGACTTACACACAATGCTTATTACCACAAAACTCAGATCAAGTTCAAATTTTGGTAGCGTCACTTTTACCGTTCTTTAGTTATGTCCCTTTATAACTATATGATATGCAAGCGGGGGCATCATCTGTGTCTACATGTGGACACTATCCACATTTTTTGTTATTATCTTAGATATCATTATAATATCTAATATCTAATACTATTAATTATGATTTTAACCTTATTTTACATGATTTCCAAAGCATCAGTAAATACAGGTGAGCGACACAGGCTCTTGAGAGCCTCTAGTTATAATATTAACAATACAACAATTATCTAGTGAAAATGAATAGATTCCATTGAAATATTCTGAGTCTCATATTAGGACTTTTTATGTATGACCATCATTAGATGTATCAAAGCATATAAATTTGGGTAGCGTCACTTTTACCGTTCTTCAGTTATGTCCCTTTATAACTATATGATATGCAAGTGGGGGCATCATCTGTGTCCACATGTGGACACTATCCACATTTATCTTTTTCCTGTTTCCGTGAATAACAAAAACTCCTTGATGTTTCCTCTTAAAAAATCAAATTAGAAATTTTCATGACCGATACATGTATTTCACTAACTAAAGTACATGCAGTGTATTTAAACTTGTGTGATGGCTTGTTGAAATAAGGGAAACTTGGTATGATTGCAAATGAGACTACTACTCATCAAAGACCAAGGGACTAAGATTTGAATAATTACAGGCCATTTTAAGACCTTCAACAATGAGTAAACTGTTAATAAATCATCCTGAATGTAAGTTATGTTGGTTGATGATTCCTCAGGAATTGTGTCTGAATAAAAGAAAATGTGGGGTATAAAATCAGTAACATGACAATTAATACAAAATAAAAAGATCTAGCAGATAACATACTGTTCTTAGCAGTAATGTTTATACCATATGTATGGGGGGCCTTGGTGGCCGAGTGGTCTAAGTAGTCGAATTATTGTATCACTAGCCAGTCAACACTGAGGTTGGGAGTTCGAATCTTGCACGTGGCAGGTGCACTCGACTACAATCTTAATTGACTAGGATTGTAAGTTTTCCTACCAAAGGTCGGTGGTTCTTTCCGGGCACTTCGGCTTTCTCCACCAATAAAAACTGACCGCTACGAAATAGCGCAATAGTGTTGAAAGTGGCGTTAAACACCAATCAATCAATCAATTTATACCATATGTCAATCTTCAGACCATTCTTTAGTAATTCATTGTTACACTGTTTATCCAATCATTTCAAAGTGTTGTTCACACAAGACATTATGAGCTGCATCGGAT